ATTACTCATAATATTCACTTATAATCCTTTTTATTTCTGTAAGGTTAGTAGTGTTTTGGTATTTTTTTTAGTAGAGATGAGGTTTCACCATTTTAGCCAGGCTGGTCTCAAACTCCTGACCTCAAGTGATCCACCCGCCTCGGCCTCCTAAAGTGCTGGGATTTCAGGCGTGAGCCACCATTTCTGGCCCTCATTTAATTTCATTGTGGTTGGAGAACATACTTTATATAATTTTAATACTTTTAAATCTATTTGAATTTAAAATTCAATTGTTTTATGAGGTAACATACAATCTATTCTGGGGAACATTCCATGTGCGCTTGAGAAGAATGTGTACTCTGCTGTTGCTGGGTGCAGTGTTCTACAGACACCTGTTAGATCTAGTTGGTTTACAGTGTTATTCCAGTCTTCTGTTTCCTTGTTGATCTTCTGTTAAGTTGTTTTTCTCATTATTTAAAGTGGGGTATTGAAGTCTTCAATTATTATTTTCAAGACAGAGTCTCGCTCTGTCGCCCAGGCTGGAGTTCAGTGGCACAATCTTGGCTCACCACAACCTCCGCCTCCCAGTTTCAAGTGATTCTCCTGCCTCAGCCTCCCGAGTAGCTGGGATTACAGGCACGTGCCACTGTGCCCAGCTAATTTTTGTATTTTTAGTAGAGATGGGGTTTCACCATGTTGGCCAGGCTGGTCTTGAACTCCTGACCTCAAGTGATCTACCCACCTCAGCCTCCCAAAGTGCTGGGATTACAGGCGAGAGCCACCGTGCCTGGTAAAGTCTTTGGGTGAGGGAGAAAGGACAAGATGGAGGAAGGTGAACAAGGAGGCACAATCCATGTTGCTTCCGGGTTCTTCCTCACCAACTTTCCTGCGCGTGGGAAAATGCAGCCCACGCCCGGGAAGATGCAGATCAACCGAGCATGCGCCAGGTGACGTCAGTCCGAAGAGATCGAAACTTACCTGGCCACGCCTACGGAGACGCCCCTATCACGTCCTTATCCCGCCCACTGCCCTCCCCCTTCCAGTAGCAATGCATAAAGGTCCGCCGCCAGCAGGAGCCAGCGTGACCTGTTCGGCCCCCGTTTTCATGGGCCGGGGAACCTCACCCGGGAGCGCCGGTGCGACTTCCCTGGCCCCCCCAACACCTGAGGACCAGAGAACTTCGCCCGAGAGTGTATGCATATTTGCAATAAAAGACTGCCACTTTCTTATGTACTTTGGCCTCATGTTTAATTGCTTAGCTCTCCTAAATTAAGTTACATTAAATTAAATTAAAACAGTCTTCAATTATTATTGTTGACTAATTAGCAACAACAGAGTCTCAACATACTGTGGGGAAAAGAAAGATCAGACTGTTACTGTGTCTATATAGAAAGAAGCAGACATAAGAGACTCCATTTTTCTCTGTATTTGAGATGCTGTTAATCTGTGACCCTACCCCCAACCTTGTCCTTGCAAGAGACATGTGCTGTGGTGACTCAAGGTTTAACAGATTTTGGGCTGTGCAGGATGTGCTTTGTTAAACAAGTGCCTGAAGGCAGTATGCTTGTGAAAAGTCATCACCATTCTCTTAATCTCAAGTACCCAGGGACACGTACACTGCCAAAGGTCGCAGGGACCTCTGCCTAGGAAAGCTAGGTATTGTCCAAGGTTTCTCCCCATGCAATAGTCTGAAACATGGCCTCGTGGGAAGGGAAAGACCTGATCGTCCCCCATCCTGACACCCGTGAAGGGTCTGTGCCGAGGAGGACTAGTATAAGAGGAAAGAAGGCCTCTTGGCTGTTGAGATAGAGAAAAGCATCTGTCTCCTGCCCGTCCCTGGGCAATGGAACATCTCGGTATAAAACCCGATTGTATGTTCTGTTTACTGAGAAAGGAGAAAACCGCCTTAGGGCGAAAGGCGGGACTTGCTAGCGCAATGCGGCTCTTTATGCACTAAAAAGGTTTATGGAGATGTTTGCATATGTATATCAAGGCACAGCACTTTTCCTTAAACCTATTCATGTCACAGAGATCTTTATTTATATGTCTTACTGCTGACCTTCTCCCTACGATGATCCTATTATCCTGCCACTTCCCTTTTTCTAAGATGGTAAAGATAATGATCAATAAATCAATAAATACTGAGGGAACTCAGAGACTGGTGCCAGCGTGGGTCCTCTCTATGCTGAGCGCCAGTCCCCTGGGCCCACTTTTTCTTTCTCTGTACTTTGTCTCTGTGTCTCATTTCTTTTCTCAAGTCTCTCGTTCCACCTAACGAGAAACACTCACAGGTGTGGAGGGGCAGGCCACCCCTTCAACATACATGGAGCAAAACCCAACAGAACTAAAGGAAGAAATATCCACCTTTTAAATTTACATTTAATGTACTGAAAAAGTAGGATTCACATCTGC